GGCTATGCTTTTCTGCGCAGTTGGCCTGCCCTGGAGTTGTCCAAGAACAAAGGCTGAGGATGGGCCAGGCTTGGGCGGGGGGGAGAGTTTCTCACCATCAGCCCGTATTCCAGCGGAAGTGGCGATCTCGCTCCCCCTTGCACCAGTGGCGCTCCTGGAAGGGTGAAGAGCAGCACCCCAAGCATTTCCCCCAAGCCGCCAATGGGTGAGAGCCCTCTGGGCACCTGAAAGAGAGCACGAAAGGGGCATTTCTTCATCCATTTGATCCCCTGCATTGGCACAGTTACCTGGATGCCCTTACCCAGCAGGGCAGGTCCCGGGGCCTCTCAGAAGTTGTCGCTGGCTTAGCAGAATGGGCAGTCCCCACCCCACCCACCGGGGTCCTGACGCCTCACCATCCAGGACTCCGCATTGGTGGTGAGAAGCGGATTCCACCCCACCCACCCCCTTCATACAAACAGCTCCAGCTTCCGGCAAGCCACCGAATTTTGGTGCTGCGGCAGGGCTTGCCCTGAAATCCCTTCCTTACTGCCCAGCTGGGCCACGGCGCGCCAGAAAGCTGCTGGGATCCCTGCACCAAACGCAGCAGAGCCCGGGCAGAGAGGTTTGTCTGCGCTCCCGGCAGGTGGCAGGTCAGGAGGACCCTGCTGGGCATCCCGTGAGAAGCGCGGCAGCTCCCGCTCTGGTCCCAGACCATCAGGGCCCTGAAAGGGGAAAAGCAGCGGACCGACGCCTCAGACCCGCGCCCGGACCTGCACCCCTGGGTGCCGCCACCAGGGGGCCCTGCTCCCCTCCAACTAAGGGGAACTCGGAATCGCCCCGCTCACCGCTCCTCCCGCGGATCGGGCCGCCTCTGGCCGCCCAGCGCGCTCCAGGCCTTCAGCACCTGCAGGCAGAGTTCGTGAGCGTCCGTCGCGGCTTAAGGTGGAGTAACTCAGGCATCCTTGGCTGGGACCCCGCGTCTCCTCTCTTCACCCTAGCATCGCTTTCATGAGGAGGTCATTGTCTTCCGGGCTGCTGTCCTCTTTTTTCAGAGTTTAATCGTGGCAGCAAAATATCGGACAGTAAATTGGTCCCATTTTCACCCTTACTCACTGCAACATTTGCAGGGGTTAGCATTTTGTATCTCCGTTAAAAAACGATACTTCATTTGCCTTAAAATGCTCTCTCAGCTAAGAATTAAAATATTTTTTAAAACTGCTGACATGAAAGACAGCACAGTACTTTAAGGATCATTAAAAATAAAAAAACCTTCCAGCTACTGGGCTGTCATTTTAGCAGTACGGTTTCTTAAATTAAACCCTTCCAATCTATACTTCTGATTGAAATAAAAATGAAGCGATCTCTTTTTTATATGTCACGATCAGTCATGTGTAATGAAGCTCAAAAGAATACATGCTCTGCATTAATTAAATAGACTTTTGCTTGGAAGGATTACCCCTTCTCTCCCCAGCCCCACACCAAAGAGCCCAGATCTGGGGGGATGCAGTGTGCGTGCGCGCGTGCGCACGCACTTGCACTGAAGGAAAACGGAATCTCCGGCAGCACAGAAAGTCAGTGAAGAGCAGGAGCTTCACACCAAAAGCTGCCCATCTGGAAAGAGCCTCTTTACTTCC